TCAGATAAAAATACCCGGGAAGCTCAAAGTTTCGTCACATTTCTCTCCGCCGTTCCGGCCTCCTGAAGCGTCACTCCGCCTCTCCTCCATCTCCCAAAATGAAGGTAGACAATCTTTTCCCACTTCTCTTCTCCTTCATCTCATAATGAAAGGAAATAATAAGACTCAAATCAAAAAATGCGTATCATTCACGAAAAAAACATAAAGTGTGAAAATCAAACCTTAAATCAAGGACGCTGGGCTCATGTCAATGGAGGGAAGAAAGGCTTCAGGAGTGACGTTGATGGCCGGAAAGAGAAGCGTTCAGGAGGTTGATGATCGGAGAAGACGAACGCACAGCGCCGCTGCTGACCCTATGTTTTCGCCTCAACTGAACTAACGTCCCTAACCCTAAATTCGTTTGCCTGAACCATGGGCCTGACCCGTTCTTCATTCCCCAAAGCCCATTAATCACTAACCCTTTTCATTTTATAAACAATATTTACTCTTTTTTTTATTTCTTGTAAAATACTAACTTAAATGAAATACATTTTTATCATATGGTTAAAACATCTTTTTTTAGATAGATATTTGTACATAACAATAACAAAATACTTTTTATACACAATTAACTTGAAAACATTTCTAAATACACTTTAAAATACATTTTTTATCATATAATTAGAAATTAAAAATACCTTTTTTAATTAATATACATATTTGTACATAACAATATCTACATTTCTCTAATATTAAAATTAATAAATGTGTGATTAAAATACTTTCTTTTTTTTATGCATAATATAATTTAATTAAAATGTGAACATACCTTAATTAAAACATTTTTCCTTTTGCACATAATTAAGCATACATAAATCAAAGATTCATTTAAAATACATCTCTAGGTAAAACCCTAATACGATTCAACTTCACATATCGTACTTGTACATAATTACACATATTCATATACATATACACTTGTACACTTACACAATACATTGCCCTATACACATTTTTATCTTATATTTGTATATTCGATATTTACATTTGATCGCACATTCGATTGGGTTGTAACTTATTGGATACTATAAGTCTCATCCCCCTTGTACAGTTATACCCCCACTCCCGGATATTATTTTGTAATAGCGTAGATTTACATTCCGCAATTTACAGTTTTCCAATTATACCATGGTTAGACCTAGGGTTTGTATGTACATAAAATCAAACGCTAGATAACCTAATACAAGACAAATACATGTAATCAATACACAATCACACTTGCACCCCCTAGGGTAATCCCACATGTTGCCTTCCAAAATGGGCCATGCTTGCACGTCGAGTATCTTTGGCAAAACAAAATCAAATGATCATAAGTCTCAAAGTGTTGCCTAAACGGAATGATCATAGTCCCTTCAAAACAAATTGCCAAAGACACTTGGCATCATTGCATTCATGGTCCATACGATGACCCGCGCCCGTCCCGAATACACTTCCTAAACGCAAGATTGTCTACCAATTTCAATGGTAGAACAAAATTGTAAAAGGGGTTAGAACACGACAAAAACCTTTGAGTACAATAGGGTAGACAAAACTCTTAGTTACTTGAGATCAAACTTGCAAAAACACTTGCCTTCTGTTCAAAAACCACAATCCACAACGCTTTCAAAACAAACTCTCAAAAACATTTTGAAACATCTTTTCGAAAAGATACACGCCTTTGTAAAACATTTGAGTAAAGAATTGTTACAAGGTTAGCCTAAGACAAGGCATCTTTTTTCCAAAACATTTTCAAAAAGCACCCACACACACCATTTTCAAAGCAATCGAAAAACAAGGCAAGTGATCTAAAAAAACCAAGTAACTAAGAGCCCATGGATAACCATGGATGAAAAGGGTGCTAATACCTTCCCTTTTCATAATCTACCCCCCGAACCCACGAAATATCTCAAAAGGTTTTTGCTGTGCTTTTTTAACCTTTCCTTTAGGATAAAATAAAAAGTCGGTGGCGACTCTTGCTTAACCGCAACATTTGCGAACACAAACGCAAAACCTCAAGTCAGTTCTCCCACCGTATCACACCAGGTTTTAACACTATCAAAAAATATGAGACTTCAAGAGGGAAGAGACAACCCAAGTTCTAATGAACTAGCGGAATTTTCAAAATGGATTTTAAATGTGGGTGATGGTAAGATTTGTGAACCCAATGATGGTTTGGTTGATATTGAAATTCCTCAAGAGCTATTAATATCAAATTTTGATGATCCTATAAGAGCAATTGTTGAAAACACATATCCCAATTTGTTGGAAAAATATCAAGATGTTGAATTCTTACAAGGAAAGGCTATTCTTGCTTCAACCATTGAAGTTGTGGACAAAATCAATCATTATGTATTAGACTTGATACCAGGTACATGTGTTTTATATTTACTGTATTATTACATTCATAATATATATATATATATATATATATATATATATATATATATATATATATATATATATATATATATATATATATATATATATATATATATATATATATATATATATATATATATATATATATATATATATATATATATATATATATATATATATATTTAAGAACATAGTTTTACTAATTTATTTATGTTTTGCTTTTAAACTTTTTTTAGGAGAAGAGAAAGAGTATTTGAGTTTTTGATTCCATTGATAGAACAGATTCAAGTTATACTGAAGCATATGAAGTTCTAACTCCTGAATTTCTCAGTAAATTAAGAACGTCAGGGCTTCCCAATCATAGGATCAAATTGAAGGTTGGTACACCTATTATGCTAATGAGAAATTTGGACCAAGCCGATGGGTTGTGCAACGGAACAAGATTAATTGTTACAAGATTTGCAAATCATGTCATTGAGGCAAAAATCATGTCTGGAAAGAACATAGGTAACATTTTTTACATTTCACGAATGTCTATGTCACCTTCTGATTCACCTTGGCCATTCAAGTTGATTAGGAGACAATTTCCGATTATTGTCTCCTATGCAATGACAATTAATAAGTCACAAGGTCAATCTCTTGATAGTGTTGGATTGTATTTTCCTACTCCTGTGTTTAGTCATGGTCAATTATATGTTGCAATTTCAAGAGTTAAAAGCAAAAGTGGGCTAAAAATCCTAATTCATGACAAGGAGAATGTACCGTGTTCTACTACTACTAATGTTGTGTATAAGGAAGTCTTTCAAGCACTTTGATAGTTGGTAAACTTTATATCTTATACTTTACGATTCAAATTAAAAATCTATTTTGAATTAAAATATATAGTATGTACATTTTCCATGTATTTCAAGAAGTATATAATTTTTCCTATTTGTTCATGCAGACGTGATTTGTTGATAGGACCGACGCTTGCTACAAATATGGAGTTAAATGCCAACATGGTTTACATGAGACATATACTCAACTGAAAACATGGTAACATACTTAATAATTTAATAATCTATAAATGTAATGTGAATCCAGACGAGACCCGTGCGATAGCACGGGTTTGTTACTAGTATTATAAATAATAATAGAAAGTAATGATGAAAATTGTAGATTTTAATGAGATAACTTATAATTTAAGAGAGAGAAAATTTGTAACTCCTTACAATGTATGTCGCATAACATTAAAAGTTAAGTTTGTTAAGCATAGTTAAATTTATATATATGTTAGACAAATACTCGATTGTGACATCACTCTTTTTATAAGAACTATTGTGTAATAGTCAATCAAATATATCAATTATTATGGTCAGTCCAATCAATTCAGATATTCAATTCTAGTTTAAAAAATAGGTATAGTTATTTTTTATTTGTACAATTTTAATCAATAATTTCAAAATATCTTGATTTGAGAATAGTAAAATGGCCTCCCTCGTTCTTCAACTCTAGTTTTTTCTTTTTCTTCATCCACTAAAGATGGATAGTTTTAGGGTCAATTTTTTAATGAAAAATTTCCCCTCTGAAATATTTTTCTTTTCCTTTTAATTCAAATAAGTGATTTCACACGTATTTTTATTTTTTTCTTTGTGATTTCATCGTCTTAGTGTGACGTTGTGTTGGTCGTCGTCTTCTTGCGGCGTTATTTTGTTTTACTGTCTTGTTGCAGTGTTTGTTTGGTTCTGATTGATAGAATAATTTCGACTGCATGCAGATTCAATCAATGACTTTGACGTCGTCAACACTGCCACTACAATATTTGTTGTCTCTGGCAACACTTTTTTAGGTAACATGTAGAAATTGTTGCCTTAAATTCATATAGGCAACGATTTACGATTGTTGTCAAAACTATGTTTGCAACCCTTGATAATCGTCGCCTAAAATACTTTTGGGGACGTTTATGGAGCGATACTCTTTTATTTTTTTGCCAACGGTTGTTAATTGTGCCCTTAACTGCTTTTGGGGACGATTTTAGAGCGTTAAAATATTATTTCTTTAGCAATGTTTGACAATTGTCCCCTAAATTATTTTTGGGGACATTTTTAGATTGTTACATTAGTTCTAATAAAAGGCTACATTTCTGAAATGTTGTATAAATTTTTTTAGAATTATCAAATTTTTGGTGGCAATCTTCCCTCCAAAACTTATACACTAAAAAACAAATATTTTTCTCTAAACATTATTAATATATATATAAAAAAAAATATTTTTCTAACACAGGAATTTAAAAATAAATTTTTTCAATTAAACAGAAAATAAAAAATTATATATATATATATATATATATATATATATATATATATATATATATATATATATATATATATATATATATATATATATATATATATATATATATATATATATATATATATATATATATATGTGTGTATATTAGTCTAAAACTTATATATATTTCAATTAAACAGGAATTTTTCTAACACATTATTAATATTTCTCTAATTCCATAATTCCATCTCTCATCATTCAAAAACTACCCTTTTAGGGTTTTCAATTTCTCAACACTCCTCATTATTATTCAAATATCAAAAATCTCCGATATGGACGGAGCCAGCGGCGTCAGTAGCGGCGGAGAAGTCTCATCCCAATTACCGGCACCGACACCGATGCAAAACTCAAACTCGCCGCCTCCGTTTTTGAGCAAGATGTATGACATGGTGGATGACCCTTCCACTGACGCCGTAGTTTCATGGAGCGCAACCAATAACAGTTTTGTTGTTTGGGACCCACCGGAATTCGCTAGGGACCTTTTGCCGAAGTACTTCAAACACAACAACTTCTCAAGCTTTGTTAGACAGTTGAATACATATGTGTGTTCTCTTCCTTCTCAATCTTTTATCTTCTTATTTATTACAAGTTTTTTGTTAACAGTTGTTGCATTTTGCCTGATTGAATATTGAATTGGAAGTGATTACTGATTTTTTATGTTTTCTTGTATTTGAGTTAGTAACCTTTTGATGTGTTTGAATTTTGATCTGTCTTGTAATGAAGTGTGTACTTTGTGGAATTTTGTTTTAAAAACATTTTGATGTTTTTGCTCTATTGTGGATAAAGTTTGATCTATGATTATGCGGTGGCTGTTATTTGATTTACTCGGATGCATGCAAAATTTGTTCTATTTGGATCAAGTTTGTTTTGGTGAAATTAAAGAGTGGATTTGTTATGCCCTACAGCCCTAGTCATGTTTTAGTTTCACACATTTGATAGTGATTTGGTTTGAATCTGAATTGTGCTTATAAGTGGGTGACATGACAACCTTCGCCTTACAAACCAATTTTGTAAGGTTGGATTAGGACTAATCAAATTTGTAGGAATGGGAATGGCCTCAACTGAACTTATAAAGTAGGAAAATTTACTTTATCCTTCAATTAAAATAGAAGAGCGCGCTAGGGTGAGATTTGTTAATTTTGTTTCCTTGTTTCAAAAGAATGGATAGACTGTAAAATTTAAATTTGATATTCTACCCTCCTGCATTGCGTCAGCAACTAAATGGAGCTGAAGAGGGAAGTTTGACAAAGAAAGCCATTCTCAGGTTAATATGTTACTTGATTATGGTTTACTGACGCATGCATTGTATATTTAATGTCAGAGGCATATATACACTGTATTATGTGAGGTATTATAATACCTAGCTTAAGTAAGGCATTAGATAGTGAATTGTTATGAAGAAGATTTTAGGGTTCTTGGAGAAATGTTTGCTATGAAGCGGGTATTGGCCCTAAAAGGGTTCAGGAAATTATAGAAGTTGTGGACGGTAAATCATTTTCTTGTTTCATTTGATTTTATATAAAATGATGTATGTTAAAGTTATGTTTTGGAATTCCTTTAGATATATTATTCCTACTGTTTTTTAATGAATTTTTACAAAAATTAGAAACACCAAAAAAAGGAACTCAACAAGAAAGAGTTCAAAAGGTTGATCACAATTTGGACAAAGAGACTATTGCAAAGAAAATGGAGATAGACAAACTCTCGCAACCAAAAGTAATGAAAGATCATGCACATGGTGACAAAGAAGTTGTACAAGGTAAGTGATTTTTAAATTTTTCTATTATGCATATATTACATGAAATTATTCCTAATATCTTTTGGTGAATTTTTACTAAAATTAGAAACACCAAAGAAAAGAACTCAAGTGAAAGCTACAGTGAATAGAGAAAGAATTCAAAAGGTTGATGGAAAATTGGACAACCACATTGCTATGAAGAAAGCAGAGAGACCTAAGCTTTTGCAACCACAAGTTAAGGAAGTTCTTGCACATGGAAACAAAGAAGTTTCACAAGGTAGTTAATATCCCTGCATATACTTTAAATTTATGTTATAGTATCAAAATGGTTGTTAATGTATGCAAAAATTTGCAAGTAGTGACAACACCTAGAATAAAGTAAGTGGTTGAAATTGTTTAAGTAGTGACAACACCTAGAAGTGGCTGAAACTGTTTTATTTGTGCGAGCTTTCATTGATATTTCACAAACATACTTGCCTGGGATAAGATTATGGGACCCCCTTGTTTGATAACACTCACTATGTATGCTGTAAATTTATCCATATGATACTGAACACCAAAGAAGATACAACAAGTAAGAGTGTTCATCAGAGTTCATTTACTCCAAAAAATAAACATAAAAGGATAGCACAAGTTATACATACATACATACATACAGTTAAAGGCTATTGTAAGTCCTGAATAGTGAGCCAAAAACAGAATGGTTTTCATAATTGATTTATTTGCTAGTAAGCTCATGTCACCTATTACAGTTTAGAACGAAAATTCACATCCATTAAAAACCTTCATAATTAATTCACATCCATGAGATGTGAAGAATATAAACAATGTGTTTTGCTCATTGGTTTAGTTTTTATTTGTGCGAGGTTTAATTCTTGTTGATGTCTTAATTGTTCTTTGGACCAAAAATACTTATGGTTAATGTGTTTTATTTTATTTTCTTATGCAGCAATGTATCAATGAAGATGTTGAAAAGGACGATATAAATGATGAAATTCAAGAGGACGACCTAAATGATAAAATTCAAGAGGACGACGTAGATGGCGAATTTCAAGAGGACGACATAGATCTAGATGATGAATTTCAAGAGGAGGATATAGATGGTGAATTTCAAGAGGACGGCGTAGATGAAGAATTTATGGAGGATGACATATCTAACGAATTTCAAGATGACGATCTGGATGCTTTACTCCTAGAAGACAAACTTGAATGAGTTGGATGATGTCTTTTTTTTGGCTTGTAGTTGAAAGCATTAAACTTGAAATATGTTTTTTTTTCTTTTGCTGAACTATGTTTTTAGTTATTTTACTAGGGTCATACTTCAAAGTATTAAAAGTAATATTGTTACGTTAGGCATTTTGTGTACTCTATATACTATATCTTGAATTAAAGTTTGAACTCGATTTTATTATATTACAACTTTTATGGATGTATGGTTTAAGTTATATAATCAATATTATTTTTGAAGCCAATTATTATTGACTATATTATTTTGATAATAATTGCAAAATTGTATATTTTATGTGGACACTATAAAACAACAACCTATAAGCTATGGCTACACTTCAAAAACGATCTTCCTGATTCAGGTTTAAGGCAACGATTGTTAATTGTAGCCGAATTTGGCAACGCAACGCTTAAAAAACATTGTCTCAGAGGCCATAAATAATCGTCCCCTATTCCTTTACTATAGGCGACGTTTTTCAAAAGCGTTCCTAAAAAACATAAAAAAACGTCGCCTCAAACAATAGGCAACACTCGCACAGGAGACGCCTAGAAAACGTCCCCTATTGTTTTAGGCAACGATTTTCAGAGTTCTGGCAACGTTTTTCAATTGTTGTTGGAGAGCCTAAATGTTGTAGTGTGCAGACTCAGAGATATGGATATTCCAAGCATTTCAATTTCCTCATATTTGTAGGCTTTTTCACATTTGTAGGCATTTTACCGTTATATGCTATTAACATGGATGTTGCGGATTTGTTCGCAGATCCATCCTTTTCAGTTTATAGGGATTTTGATTTTGTATTATTCGATGTATTCTATCCATTTGAATGAATGAATATCATTTTTATTAAAAAAGTGTATAATTTTAATATTTAAAAATGGGCACCAAAAATACAATTATATATTTAATACATGAAGCACCAAAAATACAATTATATATTTAATACATGAAGCACCAAAAATACAATTATATATTTAATACATGTAGGTTGAGTATAATTGGTCGATAGATTTAAGTATCTGAGAAGTAGTATATATGCACTCTTGATAAGTTATTCATTTTTATTTATTTTTTGTTTATATTTAACTTATGTTGATAACTTTTATCCTTTCCATTCAAACTCCCAAACTCATTAACAAATGATTTGTCGAACGAAGACTCGATAAACAATCTTTGGACACAATACAATATAACCTAAATATCATCCGGTAAAATAATACTTTACTTTTTACTTGCCGTTATACCGCTGCAACAAAATGGCGTTGTTGTCTGAGATTGGTTTATGACAAGCGAAGTCTTTTTGCAGATGCTTCCTACATCATGTTTTGGGCAGAATCATTGGTTCAGATGGTAGCGGCTTGCCATGATGATGTATTAGGTTCTGTTCACCTTATTAGGAAGCGGTATGAACTAAAAGAAAAGTGTGAGACCCTTAAGCGGGAGAATTCCACAATTGAGAAGGAATTGGTTGAGTTGTAGAAAAAGGTCGAGCTTGCTGATTCTTTGCATAAGAAGGTGGAGTGATATAAATCTCTTTCGATTTAGATGCTCGCATAGTGAAGTTGAAGTTTTCTCTTGCTAAGGGAGTGGAAATTGGAAGAAAGCTTCTAAAGTCGTGACAAAGGCATATTGTGAGTTCAAAACGGATCAGAAAACTATTCTGCAAAAGAAGGATGATCAGAACAAGGTTCTGAAAAGCCAACTAGATCTTTTCCAAGACATTCCTAGAGAGAACGTTGGAGATGGTTTGGGTGTATTGGATCCGAGAGTTGGAATTTGAGGATCCTTTTGTTCCTCTTTTTTTTCTTCTGCTTCTGTTTTGTTCCTGTAAGATTTTTTTCGGGATTTTGAGTCTTGGCTTGTAAATAATATTTATTTATGACATTACCTTTGGCATGCTTGGGTTTTTGGTTTCATATTATGCTCTATTTAGTCATATTTTTTTGCTATTTGAGAGTCGATGAATGTCAGAGTTATAAAAGAGAGAAAGTGTAGAAGTTTGTTGTGCCTATGTCGAGGGATCAATGAAATGGTAAAGTCAAATATAATGTGGCAAGGAACCAGAAGTTTCAGAGTTTTGAAAGAGAGAAAGTGTACAAGTTCCTCGTGTCTATGTCGAGTGATCAATGTCTGTAAAGATATAAGACTAACTGTCAACTTTACTTAGAAAAATCACACACATTTTCAATCCTTTAAAAAGTCTCTTTCATTTTACTAAAATAATCAGAAAATATATTTGTACCTAGATAATTGGCTAAGAACTCAAGTTCTTTATGAAAGCTTTTTAAACTGAATAATCGATTATCTAGTAGACATAATGGTCTATTATCTTTTGTCACACCATATAATCAATTATTAGGGTTAATAGTCAATTAAACAACAAATCTATTGAAAATCTTCCATTTGTGTATCTTATAATCGATTATGAGATGCGTATGATCGATTATGAGCCTTAAAAAATTCTTGAATTATATTCATATTTGAACCATCTTTTATCTTATAAATAGAAAACTCCTTTATCTTTTGTAACACATAAAAATAACGCATTTGAATTACCTTTCTCTCAATCTTTTCTCTATTTTATTTTCTCACGTTTGCCTCATTTATATTGTTATTAACTAAAAAATTTTATGGCTGATTGTTGGGTACCAACCCTCATTATACATCAATTATTACTCCTGGCCACTGTGATTAATTTTGAATAATGTTTGTTTTGCCGCATTACCCATCAATTTGACTGGCATGAATGCTACTTGACAATCAAACCTCAATTTGTTCTTAAAGAAGAAGATAAAAGTTGAAAATTTCTATGACAAATAATACATGACAACTGGCTACTACTACTACTTTACCCTTCAAGTACCTATCAAGTACATGACACAATATCTTCATGAATAGAGATGTAAGCATTGTCATACTGCCTAACATGCCATCTGCCAAATAATAATTTTGCAACCATGTTCATTTACGGAAACAATTAAGCCTATGCAATGGACTATTAATTTTAAGGTATAAGTCATATATTATTTTATGAACTTATTAACAACAAAATTCAACTTGGAATTCATATTATACCATATATAATTTGAATTAATTCTATAATACACAAGTGAATAAGGTGTTGTACCATATAAGATTGTGGATGCACACAGTCTTCAAATTCTTTTCAACAAAAATAATAATAGAGATACCCTCTCCACACACCATTCATCACTATAAATAATGAATCCTTCATGGCTTTAATTCCACCAAACCATTTCCAATTACTAACCTCTCTCATTCCTTCAACAGAGTGAACAGTATGGACACTAGCTGTCAGCTCAAAGACCAAAACATATCAACATTGATTCAGGGAATGAAAGCTAATTCCAATGTAATTAAATTTACACAGTTATTCATTTCAATTTCAGTGTTTTCCTTCGTCTTTTCACCTTCTTCCTTGTTTGTTTTCCTCCATTACTTCAAATTCTATTTCTCAACTTTACCTTTTCAACTCTTTACTCACAATATAGACAAGAACAGCATGTTCCTCCTTTCTAATGCTCTCCTTGTTTTAGTTGGCGTAACCAAATCTTTCTCAAGTACTTCTTGTGATAGTGATGATGATCAACCTTCAAATAACTCAGAAGTTTTATCATCATCACAGTATGTTAAAGAAGAAGAAGATTATTCACAATGTCATATCTTTGATGTTGAGGTCAATGAGCCAATGTTGGAGAGAGAACCTGAGAACACAACTAGTGGGCCAAATGATAAAAATGCAGCAGCAGAGGAAGAAAAAGTAGAAGAAAACATTGAAAATATAATTTTGACAGATGAAGGACAAGGAGAAGAGATGAAGGAGCAAGAAGAAAATGAAGAAGTTGAATTATTTGATGAAGACGATGAAGAGGGAGATAAAGGGTCAGAAATTGATTATGTTCCAATTGAAGAAAACAATATAGAAAAAGAAGAAGATTATGTAGAAGAAGAAGAAAGTAATAGGTTAAGTACAGAAGAATTAAATAAAAAATTTGAAGATTTCATTAGAAAAATGAAGGAAGATCTAAGAATTGTTGCTAGACGGAATTTAGTAATGGTCTGATTTAATTTAGTTAAAAACAGCCATGATCTTATTTCTTTTGGCCACGCTTCTTCTGAGGCCAGTAATTTTGAAAACTAAGTTTCTCTAATTATTCCTCTATGTCACCAATGAACAAGTTTGAATGGGAGTACTAATTTAATTTAGTAAGTTATTTATATTATTAGCTATTAGTATTGTTATTGAGCTTTTAATAATATTTGGATTTGAGAATTTTTTTGTACGCCTCTTTGGGGTGGAGAAAAACTCATGAAAATCCGAAAATACCCTTCAAAAATGTATTTCTCAACACACACCAAATCAAGGTGTTTCGGAGATGTATCTCCGAAAGCATTCAATATCAAATTTTAGAGTGAATTCGGAAATGCACTTCTGAAAATACTTTATTTCTAGTAAAATGTTGTATTTAAACATTCAGGTATATTTTCGGAGATGTATTTCCGAAAATATGCTAGTTATACCACTTTGCTGCATGAACTATTTCATTGTATTCAAGTTCTTCTCACAACCAAAATCCTCACCAAAAACTCAATCAATTTTTCGTCTCCAAAAGAAGTTTCAAGTGTTTTATCATGTCAAAGAGTGCATAGAAAGCTGCAATTTAAGGTAAACATTTCTCATTCCACCTCTCAATTTCTTGCATTGATGCTGATTTTTCAGATGAAAAAATGCATCACTTCGAAAATGTATTTCAGAAACCCACCTAACCTATTTCAAAAATACATTTCTGAAATTTCCCTGTTGCAGAAATAGAATTATTAACAATTTATATGTTTCTATTTGTGTTAGATATGATGCTCCCCTGTTACGGATGACGATTTACATGTTATGTGAAGTACTTTTCGCCAATACTCTATTAAGGATCTGATTGAATTGGATGCAAAAATTCAAAGATTCGCTAAAGATATTATCAAAATATTGCGACGTCCTCAGTTACTTATTTATAACAATATGTAATGTTAACTTTATGCTTCAATATCTACGTAATTTCGACTATAAATGTTAAATTTATGTTATTGTTTATGTGATATTTATGTAATATCAATGTTTCAACATCTATGTTATATCTATGTTTCATGGATTCTGATTTGTTTTCTCTATGTTTCATTGTCAATATTTCAATGTTTCTGTTTTGCATATTAGTCAGTGTTTATTTCGAAAATGTATTATCGAAAATGTTCATTACGTGTCTTCGGAAATTCATCTCCGAATTCACCCCAAAAAATGATATTACGTAACTTCGGTAATACATCTCCGAAATCACCCCAGAAAAATGAAATCTGGTGCGTTTGGAGATACATCTCCGAATTCTGGGAGTAAAAACAGAATTTCATCAGAGGTGGCTAAGAAGGTGTAAGGGTGGGGAAAGAAATTCCCTTTGGATTTTTAAGTTTATTATCCATTATGAGTATTATATATGTAGTCTCTTTGAGACATTGAGGATATCAAGAATCAAATGAAAAAATCTTTATTATTATGGTTAATAGTTATTTTGGATTTTTTTTTAATAACCACTTGTTTTTTTTTATAAAAATTCTCAAATAACCACTTTTTCAAAAAAATTACCAAAGTAACCATTGTTCAAACAAAAAAAATTACCACACAAAGGTCAAACCACTATGTGTGGTGCATGCATGTAAATTAGCTAGAGAGGAGGCGCCACATTGCATGGTTTGTCCTCCTATGTAGTGTCATGCAGTGTGGCGAATGCATGTAAGTTGAAGTGGATGTGCCACCTTAGATGGCTTGACAGTTGTTGTTATTATTTTTTTTATAAATAATAATAAAAGTAAATAAAATTATTTTATATTAATATTTAAAATTACACAATGCATAAATACTTATTTTTACGGACGTCTCCCTCAACCTATGTGTATCCCTGTATGACATAAACGCCTCCGTCTTTGTCTCACCCCTTGCCTCACCATTTATTGTTGAATTCCCTGAAGTGTTTGGGGTCTGTTATGACTCGCTTGATGATGAGGTGTTTGATGTGTTTGGGGTCTGTTATGACTCGCTTGTTTTGAAAAGTGATTACTTTGGTTTTTTTTTTTTGAAAAATTGGTTATTTGAGAAAAAAAATTTAAAAATGTGGTTATTCAAAAAAATTGTTATTTTGCCCCCTGTCATATGGGCAAGTTTTAAATAAATTAAAAAAAACATGTAAAAAAAGTTTGGATTCTCCCCCTAACATATGAAGATTTAAAAATGTGGTTATTCAAAAAAATTGTTATTTTGCCCCCTGTCATATGGGCAAGTTTTAAATAAATTAAAAAAAACATGTAAAAAAAGTTTGGATTCTCCCCCTAACATATGAAGATTTCCCTATTCCCCCCCCCCCCCCCCCCCCCCCCCCCCCCCCCCCAAGAAATCCAATCATAAAAAAAAATGACATGACAACCATTTTTTTATTTTTGTAATGATATGGATTGTCTAGTTGTCTTTTTTTTTAATTATTCATTTTATTTTAAATGTCATGTGGATTTTATTTTTCAATATTTAATTTAAGCTTGGAGTTTCTAAAAGCAAAATAATTCAAAAAATTTCACCTAAATGGGATTGAACACATGAAATCTAGGTATTGAATATTTAAGTCAATTGGTTTCTTCTTTTGTGGAATTCATTGTACCCTTGAAGTGGCTTTCTAGTATTATCATCAAAATCGAATTCATTTTGGTTAGGTTTAAGGTATATTTGTTGTTAAAATGGATGATTCAATTGATGTAACTTCAATGCTAGGCTATTTTCCGATTTGCGGTGGAAACTTAATTAGTGATGTATCTCAAAAGAGGAAATCTTTCAACACTTGCAGGTTTCCACCGGCTGAGTTTCTTGGTGGAAAGGTTGTTGTTTGACTGCCTTTGATTTAATCGAAGGAAGACGAGTTCTTGTTATCTTCATTCATTGATGGTGGTTTTGATCGAAGAAAGGTCAAGCCCAATCCTGAAATATTTATGTATGCAACATAATTTTGGAACTTCATATCTGGAAGGTGTATTATGTTTGGAAACTCTAATAGTGGAAGTTGCACATGATGCATGAATGAAGTGTGTTGTTGTTGCTAGCAATCATCCTCTGTATGAGCTTCAGGATGCATACTTGAGGAAATATTATATAATATACAAATTGCATGGGTAAGGTTATAAAAATAGTGAGCATGGCCCAGTGGTAAAGGGGTGTTCTATTGAGGGCATGAACTTGTGTTTGATCCCCTGTTGAGTGCAAAATTTTGAATTATTTTGCATTTAAAAACTCCCTAAATCAAATATTGAAAAATAAAAGTCACATGACATTTAAAATAAAATGAATAATTAATAAAAAAGACAACTAGACAGTCCATGTCATTACAAAAATTTAAAAAAAAAAATGGTTGACATGTCATTTTTTTTTATGATTGGATTTCTTGAGGGGATAAAACAAGGGAATCTTCATATTTTATGGGGCGAATCCAAACTTTTTTTACAGGGGGAATCTGCATATGTTAGGGGGCGAATCCAAACTTTTTTTTATAGGGGATTTTCAAAACTCGCACATATGGCAGGGGGAAAAATAACAATTAACCCTTATTTTTATTAGTTAGTTATAATTGTCTTTTATTTCTTAGTTCTCTCCGATTTGTTAGGATTTTAAATTAGCATCCTATCAGATTACCATTAAACAATGCAAAGCAACAGAAAGATTTTAATATCTTTCAATTCAAATATATAAGTATATCATCATTGCACAATCACCTATTAACTTATGTTTTTTTCTTCTGGGCAGGTTCTCTTTTCGTCAAGAACAAAGCTTTGTGATTAATTTATGTTTCCTCCTCTTGAGGGTGAGAGAAGAGAGAACACATAATTTATAAAGGATAACTTCTCTATCTATCACAAAAAATTGGATAGTGTACCTTCAATCAATTAAATAATATTACTTTTTTATTATAATTGTTTAAATAATTAATTTTAAAAAAAATTAAAGTGCCTTGAAGCATCTTTGTTCAATTTTAATATGCTTATCTCATAATAAAAAATAGAGAATATAAATTCCTAGAAGACAAGTGGGCAACAAGTTATGTCGTTACTCCTTTTTGGATCGCAAAACTAATTCTCTTAAAAACTATATTCATAGACCTAGGAGATACAACATTGTTATTCATAAGCCTTTGAACTCTATGTAAAATATCAACTGCTTCTGGTGTTATGATACTATTTAATTTTAACACACTTAATTATTTATTAAATAATAAATTTGTTGGTTGTTTACAGAGCATTTTACACTTAAGTAACTTTACCCAACTTTTTGAGTTGGGTATATAAGAATTCACCTAATCTCTATGAGTGTGTGTGTGTGTGTGTGTGTGGTGTGTGTGTGTGTGTGTGTGGTGAGAGAGAGAGAGAGAGAGAGAGAGAGAGAGAGAGAGAGAGAGAGAGAGGAGAGAGAGAGAGAGAGAGAGAGAGAGAGAGAGAGAGAGAGAATGAATTACTTCTCTTGCCTTTTCCTTTTTATATCCCTAGACAAAAGACCTAAATATCCTTATAGTTAATCTTTATTTCCAACTGCTCTTGGTGACTCTATCTCACCTAAAAGCCAATTGATTATAAGAGACTAATTTAACAAAGGTATATGATATTACATATAAGTTATATATGTTGAGAATCAAATGTGAGAAAGAAGTCCCACATTGATTAGCAAATGGAAGAATGAATATTTTATATGTGAGAGAACCCACACACCTATCACCTTAAAGTTTTGGGTGAATATGTAGTGTGTCTCTCACAAAAGGTGTGTCCCAGTAAAAATACTCCCTCTGAATTTCCCCTAACAGTGGTATCAGAGTCTAGTTGCGAGTGAAGGGACCGGTTTACTTGTATCGAAATACTTCCTGCAGGTGGTGGGTAGAAGGTGTTTCGTTGAAGAATGTCAACGGTGGTACAAGTGTATATGGAGGAGAGCTTCTACTTGAGGGGAGCATTTTAGACTCACACTTGAGGGGAGTATTGAGGTAGATGGTCGTCTAA